TTGAGTCTGTCTAATGGAATTGGTCCAATCGTTAGTCACTAGAATATTTGATAATTTTCACTATAGTGACCCTTGTGATTTTTGACCTATAGGTGAAGAGTAGTTTTTCATGTTTAGAAGGTCCTAAGGATCATTCCCGGCTCGGCAGCCGCGCGTGTACACACGCATGTTTCCATGGACGTATAGTTGTTTACATTATTTGTATGCCTAGGCTAGGCTTACGCTGGCTACATAAAGCATATTATTGTTATACTGAATTATAGGCAAACTTTAATTTCAAGAGATAAGATTGTCAAGGATGAATGTATTATTAATTTAAAGCTAAAATACTTTCATTCATCATTATTGTATTGCATTATGCTATTTGTATTTTATGGTTATTTCACGTTTCAGTGAATCACGTACAAGTACACGTACACGTACTCATACTCGTTGACGTTGTTCTTCTCGTAATCGATTGACGTCTCGTCATCGTCCAGTTACTACTGTACTACTGTTATACCATTTTTTCACTGTTTCATTTATCATCCTTTCTACGTTTGAACGATTAAATTTACATAACATCTTATGCTGATTCCATTGGTAGTAATTTTTAATTTGAAGTTGTTTCGCATTCTACATGAAGAGTTGAACTATTGGTGTCTGTAGTTTGTTCAACTGGGGTAGCCATTGGGTCCTCAATATTTGGAAGTTGAGGCACCACTGGAGATTGTGGTATTGCCATGGGAACAGAAATTGTAGGATTATTTCTTGGCAATGCTGGTGGATGTAATAATACATTTGGAACGTTTGTCACGCGTTCACTGTCAATAGGACTGAATTCATCGCTCACCGAATCATCTGCAATAAGATGATCTGCATGTACAAATCTACGATTGTTACCTGGGACCCTTACAAGTTAAGTTAGCAGGCCTTTAATCTTGACAATCATACCTGGAGTCCATTTCTCTAACAGGTTGATACAAGTCAAACACTCTCGGTTTAGGGGATTTACCATCAGTGTGATATTTAGAAGCTTTGCTGGAGACTAGGTTTTTAAAGACAATCTAGTTTTCGGAGTCCGCCGGAGTGTGTCCTGTTGTAGTGTGAGGAATATTCCTATAACGGAATAATACATCAGCTAACCGATGCTGTAATGGCAATGATTTATTTGACTTTTGGTATATCCGTTTAAAAGTTTGGACATGTCTTTCTGCCAATCCATTACTAGAGGGATGGTACGGCAGACATAAGGTATGACTAATACCATTCAAGTTAAGAAATGACTTAAATTCTGCGGAAATGAACTGAGGTCCATTATCACTCACGACCTGTTGCGGCAAGCCAAATTTTGTAAAAACATTACCCTTAATGCAGTAAATGTAGCGAAAGAAGTGGTGCTGCTCATTGCAACAACCTCCAACCACTTAGAGTAAATGTCTAACTGGCTACGGCTCCGTAGCCCACGGCCATAACAACAGAGGAGCATGTTTCGGTGCAGCCTGAGTTTCTATGCAATCCGAACAGGACCTAACTAACTCTTCTATAGCATTATCGAGACCTGGCCACCAAACAAAAGACCTGGCCAGTGCCTTCATTCTACACATGCCAGTATGATTCTCGTGTAGTTCCGCCAACATTCGGTTGTGTAAAGTGTAAAGTGTCACTCTTCTGCCCCACAAGACGCAACCATCCTCAACGGACAACTCGTGTCGACGCACCCAAAAGGGTTGGATTACATTGTCATTAGAAAAGTTTGGCCACCCCGACAAAGTATAGTCATATACTTTCGCTAATATCGCGTCACGCTTGGTATGATCTGCTATGTTTTTAGCAGTGACTGGAAGTTTATCCACAACTGAGCTAAATACATAATGTTCATCAGCCGATGCTGAGGAACAATCATCTACGGGGAATCGACTAAGCATATCAGCATTAGCATTTTCTGTGGAGCGACGATACTCCATTTGATAATTATATCCGGATAATAACACAGCCCAACGCTGCATGCGAGCCGCAGCTAATGGTGGAATACCGGCCTTAGGGCCAAATATGTGTGTCAACGGTTTATGATCGGTGATGAGGAAGAAATCCCTACCATATAGATACATATTGAATTTCTTTACCCCATAAACTATAGCCAAAGCATCTTTTTCGATTTGGGCATAATGTTTTTCTGGTTTGCTAAGAGTTCTAGAAGCAAAAGCTATAGGTTTATCCAGACCATTATCAAGCCTGTGGCTTAGCACAGCCCCTAGTCCATATGGACTCGCATCAACGCTTAATACCAAGGGTTTCGAAGGATCATAGTGCAAAGCACTTTATCTCCCATCAGAACCTTTTTAGCGTATCCAAAGGCTTCATCACAATCCTTACTCCAATTCCATGGTATGGTTGGGCTCATTAATGCATATAATGGATGCAAATTGGAAGATAAATTAGGAACAAACTTTCCATAATAATTCAACATACCCAGGAAGGACTTCAACTGAATTACATTTTGAGGGCTGGGGGCCCTCCCGTATAGCATCAACCTTGCTCTGTAAGGGGCGTATGCCATCTGCGCACAGTACATGGCCCAAGTACCTTATCTCCGACTTAAAAACTGACACTTTACACCCTTAAGTTTGACATTGTAGTCATTAAGTGTCTTAAAAACCTTGCCAAGCACTTTGAGATGTTCATCAACATTCTCTGTTGCAATCAAAATATCATCTATGTAACAGAATACAGGGTCTATGCCGGACAAAATTTTATCCATAGTGGCTTGGAAGATAGATGGTGCTGTTTTAATACCAAAGCATAAGCGATTGGTTGTAAGCAAACCTTTGTGGGTGTTTAGAACCACCAATTTTGATGATGCTTGGTGCAGGTTAAACGCACCTGCCAAATCTAATACTGAATATACCTTTGGCTGTTTACCTTTCCTACTGAATTGGGCAAAAAGATCTTGTACATTTGGCAACTGATAATTATCATCTTCAATAGCTTTGTTTACAGCCTTGAAATCACCACACACTCTAATTGACCCATCACTCTTAGAACGTGTACCACTGGGGAAGACCAATCACTAAATTCTAATGGACTTAAAATACCTGTACTAATGAGTCGATTATACTCTGCTTCCACACTCTCCGTCATTGAGTATGGAATAGGCCTTGCCTTCTGAAACACGGGTCTAGCATCTGATTTTAACTTCAATGATGCAGTTATACCCTTTATACCTGAATTCTCAGTAGAGAATAAATTGCTGTTGCGTTCCAATATATCATTAAAAGCATGTGGAAATGACTTGTATTTGGGTACCCTCACATTATTACATGACGTATCATTAACATTAACAGTGAATTTATAACTAACTGGGACTCTTATGCTTCCTGCAACCGGAACTGGGTCACCTGTATAACTACGTAATATAATGGTATTTCTTTCCAAAGGAAAATTACTCAACACATCATTATATACTGCTTCAGAAATTGTGGACCTTGAGGCCCCAGTATCAAGCTCCATCTCTATGATAGCATTACCAACATCAACATTTAGCTTAATGGGTTTATTTTTATCATCCCCACTTCTAAATAACCCCAGACAGTCTACATCATCAATGACCTTGTCATACTCATCATCTGATTCTACATATCTTGCATCCTGTCTAGTTTTATGTTTGAATTTGCTGTGTCTATTCTTAATTTTTGCAGGGCCTGAACGACTTGTACTGCCTTTTTTCGGGCAAACAACCTTAACATGTCCTCTCTGCTTACAGCCAAAACAAATTATACGACACCTGTCAGCTGAATGCTCACCGCCACAGCACTTGCATCTCAAAGCTGGACTCGATGCAGATTTGGCATAGTAATTTGTTTTCCTTGGTGTGCTTTTCCTTCCTCCCGCATGCTGAAGCCGATGATTTTCCATTGTAGAAGAAGACGTACTGGCATCCATATATTGTTTATTTGCAATGCGAGCTAACTCATCAGATATACATTTTTTCTTAGCATTCTCAAATGTCAAATCAGCCACAGACAACAAATGAGTTTGTGTTCTAGCCATTTTTACATGAAGGCCAGACACAAGCCTATCTCGCAAAGCATCGTTTAGAAAAGTACCAAACGAGCACGTCGATGCCAACTTTTTGAGACGAACTATAAAGTCCGCGATCATTTCTCCCTCTCCTTGACACGCCGTCCAAAACTTGACGTTCGGCAATCACTATAGGTTTCGGTGTATAGTGATCCTTCAACACTTCCTTAAGCTCAGCATAGCTCTTGGAATTCGGCATTGCCGGGCTACAGACATTCATTAGAAGCTTAAAAGTTTCTGGGCCTACCGTGGCGAGAAATAGGTTGGCCTGCTTATCCTCAGCGACTGCATTCGCGGCCATGAAGGCATCGCAACGGTCAGTATAATCGTCAAAGTTTTCTAGCGCCTCATCGTACGTACCGACGTTACCAAAGACAGCCATCTCCGTAAAAGTACGTATTTTTAACTTCTGCACCAAATTGTTAACCTCGTCGCCAATTTTGTATACGTGACCAAGACTACAACACAGAATAACTGAGATTACACAGCACTATGCTCGAACAGCCGCCATCATAAATAGTCTGCCCTTTTGTTCAATACCCTCGCCTGGTGGCGCTACACACAATATATAACAGGCCTCATGAAGTTGTTATTGTAGGATATGTATATCTGTAGAAAATAGCACTTCACAGAGAAAATGCTTCATTTATTTAATTTATTGTGTTCAGGTGGCTTGTAGTTTGTAAAAATGAAATCGAAATTTTGACTTCATAAACGATCATCCTCAAGCCATCATACTGGATACTGGACAATAATTTTTCTCCCTTCTTTTTAATTTTTTTATTTGTTTTTATTTATTTATTTATTTTTCAGGCCTCCCATCACAAGATGTTTTTTTTTGTACACTTCTTCTTATATATAACTTTGAAATTTCAGGTAAATCTGATTAGTGACAAAAATAACTTTTGGTTCCATTCCATTTTCAAACTATTCTTTTACAGAAAAGGATACAAATGCTGATGTTTTGTGGACATGGTCATACCCAGAAGTAACCCCTGATTGGCAGGAAGTTCTTCTTTATAAGTCTCCTTTGAACTCTGATAATCCTTATTCACAGTTTATCTATGGACAGCACAACAGACAATGGTTTTACATAGCTACCCAGGAAGTTGACAATCATCCCACTCTGACTAAAGTAAGCACTGTCTGCTAATTTCCTCAATTTTAATGTATTTCTCCCATTTGTTGTTCACGATTAATTTAATCAACCAACTACAGTTAATTTCACAAATCCTATAATTTACAAAATGTTTCTTAAGCAATTTCTTATTGTGTGTAAAAAAAATCAGGTGTACAATGCATGGGGGAATAAAACATCAGCAATTTGTGATAAAAACGCCTCCATGAAGAATTTGTAATGAGGACCTTCAGATGGGAATTACCCTCATGAGAAGTTTGCGAAGACACATTAATAGATTTTTTGAAGTTGCTTCTTTATGTTGTCAAGGTAGTGGTGATAAATTTCTGTTGCCATGATAAACCAGTGTTTAGAAAGATGTTATAAAAATAATGAATATTATTTTATGACTGCAATGGGAAGAATATTTTTTCATGAGTTGAAAGAATGACTGTTCCATTCAATGAGGAAAGCCGAGTTGAATAAAACAATCAATCTTTCAACGAATGAAAATATTATTTCCATGCACAAAAACATTAATTATTTGTTTTATAACACACCTAAAATAGATCTTTGTCATTTGATATTTTATGAAAAAAATTTACTTTTTTTTCTAAATGGAACATTCCAACATCTTTTTAACCAATGAAAAGATTGTATTAAGAGGAGGCATACAATGGAGCGAAACGGATGGAACAAAAAATTCACAGATAGAACTAAAAATGCACGGGGGAACTTAATTTCCATGATGAGTAACAAAATGTTGTAAATAACGAATGTCACATGATACGAAATCTACCAATCAAATGATGATCTATTTAGGTGTGTTATAAGAGATAACAATAAGAACATGAAGGCAATTTTGTTGTTGGTACCTATTTTTACATCAAAGCATTAACCCTTATGCTGCCAGCTCTTTTCTTATTCAGTCAACCAGAGCACCAGCTGATAACATTACCTCTAATCCCCTCTGCCATCTAATTATTTAACAAGATCACCGTAATGCTTATTTTTGATAGTGTATGTTATTTGCTCAATAATTCATAAAGTATTGAGATAATGAAAATATAAATCTAAAAACAATTAATCAGCATTAGTTGTTTTGTACATATATGCTTTTATTTCTGCATTTTATTTATCATTTAGTTAACAAATGATAGGAATATTTTGGCAAGGCCTATCACAAATAGTATATTGGGCCTAGGCCTATTATCAGAGTATGTGTTTTCAAAGTCAAATTACTTGCTGATGAAAATCAAAATAACAAATTCTAAGCCTACATATATTTACTAACATTACCATCACAGTCCAGGCCTAGCTAGGCCTGGGCCTAGGCTAGGTCTGCCTAGCTAGGCCTGGGCCTAGGCTAGGTCTGCCTAGCTAGGCCTAGCATTGTTTTCTATGTCAGTTTCTAAGTCTCTTTATTATCCAGCACAGCTGTAACAACTACAGAAGAATAAAGTTTCTCAGCATTTCAAAACATCAAATTTTCAACTTGCAAAAACTCCAACTTCTAACAAAACAACACCCAGCAAGTTTCACATCAAAATGTGCAGAAATTTATTAGCTTTCATATGCAGTAAACACTATTTATTTGGGTTAGTGTTAAAACAGCCGCTCTATGGTCATTTTTTGAAAGACCATCACCAATTCGCATTTATGCGAAGGTGGCTTATGGCTGACAGTGAGCCTCATCGCATTTATGCGAAACTGGCATGCACACCAACTGTGCAGTGTTCGCATTTATGCGAAGATGGCAGCATAAGGGTTAAATTAGCAATTCTAATTCTACTTTGGTTTGAGTATGTAGGAGTTAAGTAGTTGTTAAATGTTGTTTTTTAATTGCATTTTTTGTCGAGAATTTATTATTTTGATATTCAATGTTATTTTTCCTTGTAGAATTGATATTGTTACAGCTTTAGAATGTAGATTTCATGATTGATATTGTAGTTTTTGTATCTTCTGTAGGTAAAAGCATTTTCACTTGTTCTTCTCTGTAAGGACTTCAACCCTGAGAAGTACATCGCTCTGTGCCAAATTCTTTGTAATGCATATGTGAAGACAGGCAGACCTTCATCCATGCTAGGGAGTTATCTGTCTGTTCTAACTAAAGGTTCTTGCGCTAGTGAAAACAATGGTACATTCTTAGTAAAAGATTTTGATGTGAGAAAAGCATATGCTGAGTCAAATCTTAGAGGTAAATCCACTAATTTATTTCATCAGTGGAAAGTGGGTTTCCTCAAGTTTAGCGCAATAAAAGAATGTGTGAAAGAGCATTACTTGTTTACTTTAAAGTGCACCGGTTTACCGGCTGCGGAGGACATGCAGTGACCCTCAGAGGAGGAGAAAGTTATTGAAAACTGCAACATCTAGTCCCGACCGCATAGAGACCTAGTTTATTTGCGCTATATAAATCCATCTATTATTATTATTATTATTACTTGCTTTCTGTAGGTGTACCTATGTGACAAAGACAAAGCACACATATCAACATCCTATTTTTTTCCCCTAATGATTCCTCTATCATTGATCAAGTATGCTTATGAGGCTTGGCTAGTAGGGAATTGAGAGCTCTGAACATTTAGGACACAGGTGGGAAAAATTCGACCCTCGGGCACATGCAGTGGCGAAAATTCAATTTGACAGTCCAACCTATGCCCACCTCTGATTTAGGAATTTGATGCTCTATAACAGAGAATGTGGATGCAGGTTAGGGAGTGAAGAGCTAACTCTGTGTGACACTTAGTGCTCTGATTATTTTTTTCTATCCAATGTCCATATAATTTTGTGCAGTTTTTCTGGAGGACACTTTTGTCTGCCTTGTGTTTAGACAATGCCCTATTCCATCAGACAAAGTCTGATTGAAATTTGTTGTGTCTGACAAACAAAAATATAATAATTTTATCGTGACTGGCTTAAGTGTTAGCAGGACTTTAACTGGTCAGTGCCTTGGTTTTTGAAGGCAAGCATTACCATCACTACTTGATGGTGAAATTATTGGTGGAGATGTTTATTGTAAATTCTCTATTTTTAATACTTAGTCATTGTTTTCTTAAATCTTATAGATTTAATAGAGATGTTTGGAATGGAGACAATCTTGATTTATACTGCAATGTTGTTGAAGAGAAAGGTTGCAGTTTACCATTCAAATGTACAAGATTTGCTAGCGTTTACACGGTGAGAAATTTAATATGTACTAAACAAAATTTTTTTTGGAAATATATACAGTACAATTAAGCGAGGCACACACTGTGGTGTACAACTATCAACTGAATCCATATTCGCTGTGCTTGACAACAGGATACTGTTTTGTCAATGGCAGACCATGGAGTAATTAGTTTAATTAGTTTAAACTAATTCCTCCATGAGCACACTAAACAGATTGTTGCTACTTTGTAATGTGCAAAGGAATTAATTTATTCATTAATGTGGAATTCATTAATATATTTTTTACAGTTTTTGAGGTATCTAGTTACTCCGAAATCAGAGTACCTGCGCCTGCCACGAAAATTTGGATTTTGGAGGTTTTGCATACTATACGCGAAAATTCAAAATTGGAGTTTTCAATCTTTTAATCAAACCTCTGATTTTGGAGTTTCTGCGTACTATTAATTGAACAAGCGCTCTTTATATAGAGAGAGCCAAACGTTACCTAACCCTCTGATTTCGGAGGTTTTGCGTACTATACACTCTGACTTCAGAGATTTTGCGTACTACGCAAAAACTGCTAAATTGGAGTTTTCAAACTGTTAATCAACCCTCCGATTTTGGAGGTTTTGTGTACTGTATACGAAAACTCCAAGAAAACTTTTAATGAAATCTCCGATTTCAGAGTTTCTGCGTACTATTATTATTAAGTAAACAAGCTCTCTCTATATAGAGAGAGAGAGAGAGAGAGCGAACGTCTATTTAAACCCTCAGATTTCAGAGAATTTTCGTACTATACACGAAAACTCCAAAATCTGAGTTTTCAAACTTATAGCCAATCCTCCGTTTTCGGAGTTTCTGCGTACTATTAATTAAACAAGCTAATACGCAAACCTCCAAAATTGGAGTTTTGGCGGCGGGCACAGACAATCCAAAAATGGAGTAACTACATACATGTTGTTCGGTTAAAATTCTATTATAATTTAGTACAATTTTCTACAAGACAGATGTCATTAGATATTTGGCACCTTATAAAACCTATATATTATTTTCATTATGTAATGTATTCATCCCCAATAAACAATGTTTGCTGCCACCTATGTTTTACAATAAATATTGAACTGAGAAAATGGCAATCGTCTCCTGTCAGTCCGTCGTGTTGTGACATAAAGAGCCATAAAACATTACAAATCTGGCGACGAGGATAAAACTAAGGAAAACAGAAATACAGGAAGTTTCTGTGAGTATTCGTAGATAACTATTGGAAACATGCCGCAGATAGGCCGAATAAATACGTTCGACAATGAAACAGAAGATTGGCCGGCGTATGCGGAACGGCTAGAGGCGTACCTAGAGACAAACTCGGTACACGACAATAGGAAAGTAGCTACATTGCTGACGGTGATAGGGCCTAAGGCATATGCACTACTCAAAGATCTATGCTCACCGGCACTGCCGAAAACGAAAGCATATGATGAATTAACGAAGATGTTAGACGAACACTTTAATCCTAAGCCACTAGTTATTGCAGAAAGGTATAGGT